TCGCTATGAGTCAGGGCCGACTCGATGGCACATAACAACAACAACAAAACAACAGTAACAAAGGAAATGATAATATGATTCATAAACATAATAATATCAGCACACAAAATTAAATGCAACAAACAAACCAGAATCACCATGAAAAACACTTAACAAAATGACAGAAAACAGTTTATACTTGTCAATAATTACACTGAATGTCAATGAATTAAATGCATCACTCAAGAGACAAAGAGTTGCAGACTGGATAAGAAAGCATAACTCATCAATATGTTGTCTATAAGAGATACCTCTTAGAGAGAAACACAAAAATAAACTAAAAATCAAAGGTTATAAAGAGATTTATCAAGCAAATGGCAACCATGAAAGAGCAAGACTGGCAATATTAATATCTGATAAAATTGACTTTAAGACAAAAACCACCATAAGAAACAAGGAAGGACATTATACAATAATTAAAGGATCAATTAACTAGAGGACATAATAAATATCTATGTACCCAATGAAAAGACCCATGAAATACACAAATCAGACTTTAACAGAATCGAAAAGACAAAAGACAAATTGAAAAGACAAAGAGTCTTTTCACAGTCATAGTAGGAGACATTAATACACCACTTTCAATCAAAGACAGAAGTAGAAAGAAACTCAACAAAGACGCAGAAGAACTAAACAATATAATCCACCAACTTGACCTTATAGACATCTACAGAGCACTTCACCCAGCAACAGCACAATGTATGTTCTTTTCAAGTGCACATGGAACAATCTCCAGGAGAGAACATATGTTAGGCCACAAAACAAGCCTTAATAAATTTAAAAACACTGAAATACTGCAAAGCATCTTCTTAGATCACAAAGCTATAAAATTAGAAATCAATAATAGGAAGATCAACAGAAAAAAAGCAAACACATGGACACTGAAGAACACCCTCCTTGTAAATGTCTGAGTAATAGAAGAAATATGAAATTAAAAAATTCCTTGAACCAAATGACAATGGAAACACAACACACAAAATTCTTTGGGAAACAGCAAAAGCAGTGATCAAAGGCCAATATATAACAATAAATGCACACATTAAAAACAAAGAAAGAGCCAAAATCAACACCTTAATCGAACTTCTCCAAAAATTAGAAAAATAGCAGTAAAAAAAAGCCTGGAGTCACCAAACGAAAAGAAATAATAAAGATTAAGGCAGAAATCAATTAAACAGAAAATAGGAAGACAACAGAAAATTCAGTAAGACCAGAAGTTTGATTTTTGAAAAGATTAATAAAATTGACAAACCACTGGTAAATTTAACAAAGGAAAGGAGGGAGAGAATACAAATAACATGAATAAGAAATAAAATGGATTGTGTGACATCACAACAGAACCACAAAGAACCAAAGGAATTAAAACCATAATAGGATACTATAAAGAACTATACTCCAACAAATTTGAATATCTAGAAGAAATGGACATTTCTAGAAACATACTACTTTCCTACACTGACACAGACTAAGGTGGAAAATTTGAACAGACCAATAACAAAAGAAGAAATTGAACAAGTCATTAAAAAAAAGTCACCAACCAAAAATACTCCTAGCTCAGACAATTTCACTGGAGAATTCTACCAAACCTTCAGAGAAGAACAAACATCAATCCTACTCAAATTATTCCAAAACATACAAAAGGATGGAATCATCCCTAATTTATTTTATAAAGCAAGCATAACCTGGATACCAAAACCAGACAAAGACATCACTCAAAAGGAAAACTACAGACCAATATCCCTCATGAATGTAGATGCAAAAATCTACAACAAAATCCTAGCCAATAGACTCCAACAACATATCAAGAAAATAATTCATCATGACCAAGTGGGATTCATATCAGGTATGCAAGGATGGTTCAATATTAGAAAAACAAGCAACGTCATCCACCACATAAATAAAACAAAGGAAAAGAACCTCGTGTATCAACGATGCAGAAAACGCATTTGATAAAATCCAACAGCCATTCCTGATCAAACCTCTGAGCAAAATAGGAATAGAAGGGACATTCCTCAACATAATAAAGGGTATATATGCAAAACCAACAGCCAACATTATTTGCAATGGAGAGAGACTGAAACTATTCCCAATGCAAACAGGAACCAGGCTAGGATGCCCTCTATCACCACTTGTATTTAACATTGTATTGCAAGTTCTAGCCAGGGCAATAAGGCAAGAAAGGGAAATTGGTAAGGAAGAAGTCATACTATCCCTACTTGCTGATGATATGATCTTATAACTAAAGACCCAAGACTCAGTCAAAAATCTATTGAAACTAATTGAGAGATTTAGCATAGTAGCAAGATACAATATCAACATACAAAAAGCACTTGGATTACTCTACACCAGGTAAGAGATTGCTGAAAAGGAAACAAGGAAATAAATACCATTTACAATAACTACCAAAAATATATATATATACTTGGGAATAAATCTCACTAGGGACACAAAAGACCTGTACAAAGAAAACTACAAAATGCTTCTTCAAGAAAACATAAGAGATCTACATAAATGGAAGGACATACCATGCTCATGGATACAAAGACTGAACATTTTGAAAATGTCAATACTACCAAAAGCAATCTATACATTTAACGCGATCCCAATCCAGATCACATCAACGTTCTTCAAGAATATGGAAAAACCAATCACTGATTTTATATGGAAATGAAAGAGATCTCAAATAAGCAAAGAACTACTGAAGAAGAACAAAGTAGGAGGTCTCACACTCTCGGATCTCAAAACATACTATACAGCCACAGTAGTCAAAACATCCTGGTATTGGTACAATAACAAGCACATAGACCAATAGAACAGAATTGAGAACCCAGAAATAGATCCATCGACCTGTGGTCAGCTGATCTTTGACAAAGGGCCGAAATCCATTAAATGGGGAAGAGATTGTCTGTTTAACAAATGGTGCTGTCAAAACCAGACATCCATTTGCAGAAAAATGAAACAAAATCTGTACTTCACACCATACACAAAAATTAACTCCAGATGGATCAAAGACTTAAATGTGAAACCTAAAACTATAAAGTTCCTCAAGGAAAAAAAAGGGGCAAATTTAGGGGCCCTAAATAATGGCATAAATAGACTATCAAGCATAACCCAAAACGCACAAACATTAGAAGATAAACCAGATGAATGGGACCTTCTTTTTTTTGCGTGTGCTTCCAAAGATTTCTCCAAAAGAGTAAAAAGAGAACCTACAGATTGGGGAAAATTATTTGGCAACAGCATGTCTGACAAGGAACTTATCTCTATGATCATTAGCCATTGTTGTTGTTGCTGTTATGTGCCGTCGAGTCGAACCCGACTCATAGCCATTTGTTGTTGTTGTTGTTATGTGCCGTCGAGTCAAACCCGACTCATAGCGACCCCTCCTTGGGTTTCCGAGGCAGTATCGCTACAGAAGTAGGATTGCCCAACCTTCCTTCCATTAGAGAGATGCAAATCAAAACAACAATGAGATACCCTCTTGTCCCAGCACCAGTAGCAAAGTTCAACAAGACAGAAAATAACAAATGCTGGCAAGGTTGTGAAGAGATTGGGACTCTCATACCCTGCTGGAGGTAGTGCCTAAAGCATTTGACTGCTAACCAGAAGGCTGGCAGTTCACATCCACCAGCCACTCCTTGGAAGGAAGATTAGACAATCTACTTCCATAGTGATACTGCTTCAGAAACATTACTATGAGTCGGATCCAACTCGAAGGCAGTGAATTTTTAGTTACTATGGAAAGCAGTATGGCCATTCCTTAAAAAGTTGGAATTAGAAATACCATTTGATCCAGCAATCCCATTACTAGGAAAGAACTGAGAGCCAGGACAAGAACAGTCATATGCACACCCATGTTCATCGCGGCACTATTTAAAATAGCTAAAAGATGGAAACAACCTAGGTGCCCATCAACGGAAGAATGGATAACGAAACCAAGGTACATATATACAATGGAATGCTATGCAACTTGTATAATCTGCAAAACACTGCATAACATGGATGAACCTGGAGGACATTATGCTCAGTGAAATAAGTCAATCACAGAAGGACAAATATTGTATTAGTTCATTATTGTAAAAAGTCAAGGAAAGGTTTATATATGGAAGGAAACTTTTTTTGTTGGTTACCAAGGATGGGAGGGGAGAGGCAGAAACACTGCAAAAATAAATAAAACCAAATTTAAAAAAAAAAAAAACATATTACAAATGCTTAGATAACTTCTTGAAAAGAGTCCTATAGCAGAAATTTATGAAAAATATTTACACACCATTAAAATAAAATATAGAAGAATTTTTTAAAAACTTAAGGCTTAAACCTCAAGTAGCTCACAGCTCACATATCCTAGAAATAGTCAAGGAAGAAAATTGTTAATACTTACACTGAAACATTTAAATTAAGAATGATGTATTTTATATGATTACTATATATGTTTTAATATTTTCTCAAAAGCAGACATTAAAAACACATATTGACTTTAAATATAAGAATTCTATACAGCATTGAAAAATATATGACCTCATGTGTATCCTTCACAGCAACATTGGAGAAACCAAATTAAAACAAATACTAAGAAATCATTTAAGTACTAGTATTATAAAATAGTTTTTTAATGATCAAAGAACGTTAACTACTTTCTTCAAAGATTTTCACTATTTATTTCTCTGATGTATGTGATATCTCTAGATTTGCTCCTTTGGTAATTGCTCTGCATCTTCATGTATTTTCTAATTACCATTACCTTCAAATAATCTCCTAAGAGTACCATAATTTGTATATTATTATTAGAAAAAAAAAAAAGCTTAAGTAATTTTTCATATGAAATATACTACAAACCACACTAATATATATATCCCAAATTTGAAGATGTATCAACTTTTTAGGCAGGAGTAACTTTTTAATGTATTTTTTTCCCAAAATGCACTTTGACAATGCAAGTGATATGACAAAGGAAAGAAACATACCTGTTTCCTTTTCTTGAACAGGGATCTTCCATACCAGTGGAAGGAGTGACAGAAGAAGAGTAAGGAGTTCTTCTCTACATGTTAATGCCTGTGTTAGAAATAAAAGAGTCTTTCATGTTCTGAAGTTAGAAAACACCAATTTCTAACTTTTTGCCTTAAACTGAACTGAAAAACTGTCCTTCAGTGGCTGCATTTAAGAAGCTAAGAATCAAATCTGCCTATCTTAAATCTAGTTAAACCTGTTATACTTTTCAACTTATAAACCTTTTCAATGACAGAAGAATGTGACAGTATTCAGCACATTCTTGCTGATATTTCCAAACATAGCTGTTACTACCACCATGCACATTGAAAGAATTCCTCATGTATGAAAGAAAAAATTCCTAGATGAAAATGAAAAGCTAAGCCCTATTAATTAGCAAAATAATATGAAGTTACTAGAAAAATATAAAATCTTCAAGCAGTTAATCGTAAAACTTTTTAAAAGAGAAACTGACATTATAATATATATTAAAGAAAGAAAAAAAGTCTCATTCATGAAGGTAATCCAGTAAATATTTACTGACTGCACATTATGTTCACAGGAATTACTGTCCAACCCTTTATGGAAGCTGTAATCCAAACCCTGGAAAAGGTTCTCTCATTGGGTACATAAAATACATAAACACAAACAGAATAAAAAAAGCTATGTGGCATGAATAAGTACCCAAGTATGACATACACACTCAGTTTAGGAGTTCAGAAAAGGAATGATCATTATCAGAAATGTGGAGGTAGGATTTGGGCTAAAGAGCTAGACCTAGAGGAATACCTGAACATGGATGGTCAAGGATTTAATGACAAAGCAAGTTGAATCCACCACACCAATCAATGGAGAGGGGTCACAATGACATGATTAGAAAGACACGCTAGGCCCTGTATAGAGGACAGGACTGCAAGAGGTGGGAGGAGAGCAGTCAGTGTTGGCAGCAGGGAGAATACTGCAACTACAATAATCCAGATAAGAGATGTGGATGGTCTGAAGTGCTACGACAAAAGAAGAGAAAAGGAGGCATATTTAAAAAACTATAAGGTAGAGAGTTCTGGCAAGATGGCGGACTAGACACAAAGACTACACACACCCTCTTCAACAAAGAAAAGGGAAACCAATGAACATAGACACAGAAGATAATCTTGGACCCGTGAACCTTGAAGGGGAGGATATAGAAGTGGACTAAACCCCAACTAGCAGAAGAATTTGTGTGAAAATACCAAAAAAGGAGACATACGTAGCTGCAGTCTGGCAGCGATCCTAAGCAATCCTGACAGCACAGACAACTTGGAGATTCCCGAGTGGTGGTAAGACCTAAGAATTAACCTAAAAATCATCCCTACTAACAAGGAACTGCACGGAGGACTGTGTATGGTGGCTGGGGAATAAATGGAGAAGGTGAAGAGAAAGGCGGGCTAAGCTACGGCCTTTTGCCGGTCCGGAGGTTGCCGCCACTTTGAAGGTATAAAAGCAGCTTGACTATTTTGGATATTTAAAGAGACAGCATGCTGGCAGATTCCTGAGCTTAAGAACATGTTCTGCTTTCCAGCAACGCAAAGGTCACTCCAGACCTGCAAGACTAAAAAGGTACCACATTCCTCTTGTTACTCTTATACCCCATACCGGCTTGGTGAACGGATGTGTGGCCATCCCCCACTCCCACCTAATTTCTGGGCCCACAGGAATTCGATCACAGTCTGTGTGCTCAGAAAGAGCATGCGTGCCCTGCCCTGTCCTCCACCCATTTTTTTTTCTCTTTTTTTATTATTTTCTTTTTCACTTTTCTTTTTCTGGTGATTAGTTTGCTTATATTTGTCTGTTTTAAAACAACTATTATTAATAATACTTTTGTCCGTTTACTATTATTCTTAATCTTCCCC